ATGTAATAATATTTTAAATCATTATTTTCAATACGTATGGTACGGTTTCATCCAAATGTTTTGTTACGCTTCATTTGATCATCTTATAAAACGATTTTCGTAACAAATTTCGAACTGACTCATTCAGACTTTCACGCGACTAACTAGACATTTGCTACGATTTATTTAAATAAAGGCAAAAAGTTCCTTTCCTTTTTTATGCCATAAATAAATAATATATATGTAAAAAAAAACAGTCTCTATAGAAGAGGATGTGTCCACAAATTACATATCCTTTGTTGTAATACGCATAATTAGAAATTGGTAACGCACTGCGTTGGGGTTGCCACGGGTCGTGGGTAAGCGAAATGTGGCTGGGTGTTAGGCATATGGCGCGGCCGGTACGCCACCACCAGGTGCCCGTCATGCGCGCACGCACCCATTGTACTCAACGAGTCCGACCCCCACAAACACTCGCAAATGTTCCTCATTCATACAACACTACACCGTAACGTCTCTTTTTAAAGTCTAAATTCGAATTGTTAATGGTGAACATAAGATCTAAATTTGCTAGTAAACGTTAGCAAAACTGACCGTGCGCATTTTGGAACAATAAATGCGACCTCCACAGTAAACCGAGCGAGAAAGAGGATGTGGTACTCTGGCCCAATAAATCTCTATGGTTGTCTCAGACATTTACAGTATGTATGCAATCAGCTGCTCCATTCAAAGTTTGTGTTTCGCACAAAAAAATGACGAAGAATTGTATAGTATAAAAATGAGTCAAGGAACTTGCAACATGTTACAAAAATCTTCCGACCACGAGTCAGACTTACTTTTATATAGATTCGAAAATAATATTAATTAAAAATCTACTGGCATAAATTTTATAATTAAACATTTGTTAAGTTAAAACTGTGTTTTATGATCATTGTTTATAATATTCTAAAAAATGTAAAATTTATTTATGCGAATTATAATAATAATATTAATTATCCTGATAAATCTCTAAAGATGAAAGATTTGATTGTTTGTACGTTTATTTGCATTGAATAGGCTCCGAAACTAGTGGACCGATATTCAGGATTATTTCACTTGCACAAAAAAGTTACGTTTGATTATTTTGTAAGTAGGTATGCAAATATTATAAATAGGAAAGATTTGATCATATGTTTGCTTGCAAAAGCTCCGAAACTACAAGACTGATTTATAATTCTATCACCACCTAATACTACTACATCATACACGGGTGTCACAGGCTATTATTTACGCGACCGAAGTCAGAGGAAAACCGCTAGTCTTCCATAATTTCATTTTTAGTATATATGATCTACCTTTATTCACTGACAATATATTTTTTATTATGATATCTCTATCTTTATGAATCAAATCACCAGTGGCCAGCGATACCAAGTAAGGGTTGGCGACACTTGGAAAACAATCAATTAGCGATCCTGTCGACCACCGAGCACTTCCGTTTCCGAGCGTTTAGCCGCTTCCGGCGGGGGCGGGCCCTTGTTCTTGCATGTTTCGTTCGGTATCAATTCTGGAGCCGCTCGATTGTTACAATGCAACAATCTAACTTTATGTTGTTATTATACACGAGTAATTTAAGTAAGCAAGTAAAAATATATATTTTTAAGTTTAATGGATTCATAAAAACTTTACTGGATTCAATAAGGTACATTAAAATTATAAACGCCTAGTTATTAAACGTTTGATCAGCGATTCACTTATAAGAGACTTGAAATAACAAACATATTTGGTATTTTTAGAAATTTTAAAATTACTGTCTGCAACGTCAGTAAATAAGAGATGATCGAAAATATTGAGAACAGCTAATGAGCATCAAAAAAGATTTGATTAGATTGTTATTGTACTAAATGTGTCATTTTGTTTAGTATACACTTTACTGTTTTGAATAAATCTGTAATTTATATATTTTCCACACAAATTTGTCTCTAAGTTCTGTGTCATTCGAATTTGATCACATACGCTTTTATTTTGTCCTAGAAACTCTACTAGTTTGATAATAAAAACGTTCTGTAGTGTTCTAATCACAGCGCGAAACACGTCAGTTTGTACCCACGTACGTTCATTTAAATTTGTTTTATTGAGGTATAAAAACTGCGCCGAGCTCACAATACTGACGTAGGCCATTAGGCGATCAACAAACCGTCCATTCGTCGTATGCGAGAAATCAACGAAGGCGAAACTGACACCTAACGAGATTCATTATCATAATATATTTCTATTGTTTCTTATAATGTGTAGACTTTTCATATTATTAATATTATAAATGCGAAAGTATATGAGGAATATGTTTCTTATAATTTCAAGCAAAAACTACTGAAAGGATTTGGACGAAATTCGATATACGGATAATTCTAAGCCTGAATTAACTGACAGGCTAATTTATAATTTTTATACCACTAAACAGTTCCCTAGGAATAAATGCACTGTCAAGTTTTCATGTAAACCACGCATGTGAACCCGCTGTTCATAGTTCATATACATATCTAAGTTTTGAGGAAGTTATATGTTAACGCTTTCACCAGTGAGTGAGTTGAGAATTTGCGTGGAGATTTGTAGTTCTTTATACTTACAGCGCTAGAAACGCTGTGCCTGTTTCCATACTAATATCTTAGTAAGCCCTCTAATACATTTATTAACATAACACTAATAAGTTATTTTAATCAAAGTTTTCTGAGCACGGAGGCTCCGTCCTTCGGAAGGCATGTAAATTCGTTGGTCCCGGCTGTATCTGCATTCGTAAACAACCATTTATGGGTCGGGGTAGTGGATCCCCTATTCGATTCCACCTTGGCGTGTGCGTATGAAGGAAATAAGTATAGATGGTTCATGTAAGTGCTTTGCGATTTGGCACATTGTCATTGCCAAATATAGAAACTTATTGGTCACTCAATTTAATTTACACATAAGTACTAGAAGATAACTGGCAGTTAATATTATTATCTGGGTACGTTTTATTATCATATCCTATCGTCAACTAATCGAGTGCTGATAACGGCATCATTTCAGGATTTCGATGTGTTTGTGAACTATTTAATTAATAACATCGCGAATAGGTATCAATTGTTTGTATTAATTTTCATTTACTGTGTTACATATAATATTTTAAAAAGTGTTTATATGAATTATTGAACATGTAATAAGTGTACTTTACGATACTAACTTCTATAAAAATGTTCTTAAATTGGAATATTTTGGATTTCGATAAATGAAAATATTCATCGTCCTACCTACTTATAACTATATTCAATAAAAACCGGACAGCGAGTTAAAATGAATCACACTAAAAAACCTTTGACCGGTGTCTTTAGATTGCTAATAAAAACCATTCATATCGATTTTTTTACATTTGGGCTTCGAAAAACAAAGTACTTTCAAAAGGTTAGCAAATTCCTATAAAACTTACTTACATTTCTCTCCACTCCATTTAACCAATTGATTACTTATTGATAACCCAATTCCCTATTTCGTATGAGTAAGAATACGCAATGTAAATTGCCGAGTCACTTCCAAGCAAATTGAATGAAAGGGAACGAAATACACTAAAGGGTAACATTTCTTAATTGTTTACATTGAAAAGGGCATAGCTTACCTGCTTCAGTAAATCTTTGTCACGCGAGATAAGATCGGTGTTAGATGTTTGTTTAATAAGCTTTCACCAAAAGCACTGTTATCAATATACACAAGATTATATCCGTTTTTCTAATAATGGGAACAACGGCGTTTAAATATTCTCAAAATGGAGGTACTAACTTTATAATTACATACTCATTTGTATAGATAAGAAAATGAGCTGAATTTATAGAATTTTCGACATTCTATAAGAGTAATAGATATATAATTTTATCCATATAATTTAAAAGCAGCAGTTACTGTGTAATAAACAGTGGAAAAACCAATGGAAAATATTTCGTACTTTACCCAAAGTAAATACGTAAAACACTTGTGTTAATTTACTTTTAAACTGACGTAACGAGAAATAATTATATCATCCATTCAATTCTATAATTTAACAAATTTATTAGTATCCGGATTTATGATTTCATACCGAACTAAATTCTTAGACCATTATCACTCAGCTGTTTGTAAAAGGAGCGTTTTTTATGCGACGCTGTCGGACTATATATTTATAAAGCAGTACTGTATAGACGAGCCAACTTACTGACATAAGTCGAGAGCAAAAAATTTAAAAACACCGCGTGTGTACATTCACTGCTACGGGGGGTCAATTCTGAGACCATGTGTGACAGTGGAGCGGCAGTAAATAGATCAATTTTTTTTATATACATAAAAATTCAGCTTCATACGATAGCAAATACTCTATAAAACCTATTATATTAACGTAGATCTATATGACTGCCAGTTGGAATATGGCCGGCATTTGTCTAAAAATAATAATTTTAATCAAAAGCAATCTGGTTAATACATAAACTTTTAACACGATTATTTAACTAGGAGTAATGTCTACGTTACATCATAAAAATCCCATTAAAATGGCTATAAGATACACGAATACATGACGGTATTATCGAAAATATTTTATTGTCCTAAACCTAATCAAAAACAAGTATAAGTAATTTGTGATCATGTTTTCATCACCCAAAAGATCCCGTTTTATCTTTTGGGTATTACTAAGACTTTGCTGTCTATCTGTCTGTCACCAGGCTGAATCTCATGAACCGTAAAAGTTAGACAGTTGTAATTTTCACAGATATATTTTCAACAACAAATTCTAAAAACCATACAACAAAAGTGATTTTTGTGCTCGTTTCCTGTACGGAACCCTACATGAGCGAGTCTAATTCGCACTTGGCAGGACGACAACGTATTGATCAAATATAATAATCACCCCGATGTTTACCATAATTTCTGGTACCAGTTTTAAACTGCAGTACAATAATGGTTAATAGTGAGCAATGAGCAATGAAATTTGGTCACAATAAGCCCCTTATTTACTTCTAAAACTCAGTTCTTAATTCCTTACTAACCTGGTGCTAGATTTCCTCTGGGTTTTGCTCCTAGAATGGCAAGGTTCACATTTGCTTTCCTTCCATCTATGATGGGGTTGGGATCTTTACACGCGCGCTCGGCCGCAGCTCTGTCCGACATTATTACCTGCAAAAAAACACATAAATATAATGTAAAAACTATTTACATCTTCATAAAACTATCGTCATGAATCATTAGCCTATTAATGTTGCCCACCGCTTGTGAGAGGAAGCTATATTATGTTCCTAGGGCAAGCAGAGAGCCCCCTGGGAGGAAGACAAGTAGGTTAGCCCGGACCAGTGAGCCCCGGACGCCACTATCAGGGGTGCAACATTAATATTTTTTATAACTGTTCTTTGTAAATTTGCTTCACCTTAGCGATCATAGACCTTGCCCACCAAATATACCGCCATCTAAATCTTCTGTACAGTTTTAAGATCGCACATATAGTTTATCTTTTCCGAGAAAAGCTACTTCGTTTCTTATCAAAATCGTAATACATAGTTTCACTCCTTAAAAACTCAACACCGTATCAAAAATACAACGTATTATATTGAAGTTATCGATAGTACATAAGGTTTGTTATTCAAACTTAGTAGTTACTTGAAGAAATCCAAAGGTAGAATAAAGAGACAATAAAAAGTCTTCTAAGTAGGTACTTGGATCAGAAATAAAAATTTTGTACCATGCTTCTTTTATAGTACAGGTGAGAATCGCAAGAAGGTAAATCGGTGGGTGTGATTTTATTAAAAACTCCTAGAGTTTTTAGAATAATTACGATTAGGAGCTATTGTCTCATCATCTAGTAGTCGAAAACGTAGCAAATTATTACGTAACAAATATATATTCACTTGTTTTCACAAGACATATAAATAATAACCAAATAATATTATTCAAATGAATATCTTAATATTTTCTCATTATCTTAGAGTCCTATCTCATAGTACCTAAGGCAGGATTTATTAAGCATTTTTTATTAGGATTTTTTTCCAGTATAGCATTGTGAATGCAAAATTAAACAAATATAATAATCTTAATATTTTTAAAATTCCTAATACATATGCGTAGATAATAGAAATCAGTACATGTCTCGCGAAACACGGTACTGAACGCAATACCCGCCACACACCAAGGATTAATAATTTACGTCAAATTTAATATTTCGTCCGCTTTATTATAATTTTGGAAGAAATTGGTGAAAACCTGCAAAGAAATAATGCAAAACATATGCACGCTATCTAAGCTGAGCAGTTTGTATTTTCACATAACCGTTTTGTCTGTCATTCATTCTCTTTGAATAAATGAATTATTGTTTGTTTTACAAACACCATTAAACAAATTACATAAATATTACAATCATAAACAAAGTATAGTACAATCGGCGGACTTATCGCTAATAACCGATCTACTATCTTACTTAGCAATATTTTCTCAAAATTCAGCGTTAGAGATTCGATCAAACAAAACCTACTTCTAAATGTAATAAGGGTTTTGTTGTTAAGCTCATAGATATACTATTTAGTCTATGGTTAAGCCGTATTTTTAAAAGAACCACTGTAGAGCTCATGGTAGAGCCTGTCCAAATTGTATTAGTGTGGTTAGTAATGAAAAACATTTTGTGCATATGCACAGAGAGACCACTTAATGATAAAACTATAAACGAAAACAATCGGGTCCCTTATACTCTCTCTCTTATCAATATGTGTAATATAATAATGATATGAGAATAAACTTGGATACCTTGAACATAAGAGAAAGTTCAAGGGACCCGATGTTTTTCGCTTTGGTAGTTTCTTATTTACTCTATGTACATGTGTGTAAGATGCTTTTGTATAATTAAGTACACAGGCAAGTTTCTAATTTCGTTAACTCTGTGAAATTTAAAATCAAAATAAAATTGGATGAAAAATGTATACTGAAATCTTACTTTAATTTGAGCATATAAAACAATGTTTAAAACGAAAAATAGTTTCTTTCACTGCACAATACGCCCGCTTCAATAAAAAACAACAAAACATTGTGACGTAGGATCGGCATTACCTATTGTAATGAATGCGTGATCCATGGGTCGGCACCTCGCCGTTTCCACAACACGGGATACCATTTTATAAAGGCCTGCCGCAATCCTCTTTCGAATAACGAATTCGGGTGACCGAGGGGACAGACCACTTACGTTCGCGGATCATTATAATTCGGTCACTATAAGTAGGTAAGCGCAGAATGAACCTACAGAACTGAAGCAAGCGGTCTGATGACCTCCAGATAGGTACTGAAGGTCTGAGCGTCATTAAAAATTCAAATATAAGAGTTTTTGCTCTATTCTACATGGGATCGCAAAAGATCAGGGCTTTTTTTAACTCTAGACGAATAAATTTGTATTCTATTGATTTTTTATAAAGGTTACAATGTTAACATTTAAATAACATATTAGGTTCAGTTCAATAAAAGAAATGTTCAATGGAACATATTTAAATCAACCTTTTTGAAATTGTAATAAAGGAAGTAAAGAGGAATGCTTCTGTAAAAGTTTTTACTTATTTTATCCATAGACACATTACAAATACGCTATTAACTTTCCAATTATATGCTTACGGTTAAATTTCTGTCAATATGAGAAAATCTGACACAGAAATTTAAAATGTAGAGGAGACTGAATTTTTTAATCAATATATCAACGTGCAAGCAAACGAAGCCACTAAAAGATAAGACATTTTACAATATTTTTTTAACTGTAGCTGTATATTGCTCGTAAAAACTCAAGGGGCTTCTCTAACGATCAGCAAAAGAAACTTTTACACACAGTCTATTTGATCAAGGTTGTATTCAAATACTAGGCTCTGTATTTTATTAAGGCTATCACGAATCTAACGTGTTTAATAAAGCATAGAAATTGTAGTTAGACACGGTGCGTGACGTTAATCTAGTATAACAGTAAAACCTGCATAGTCGCCGGTTAGCAAAAAATTCATAGTACATATAAAAAAAATATCCTGCCTTAATTTATTTTTTGTTTTTTTTAAAAGGTTAAATGAAATACTTATAAGGAAGACATTTTTGCATTGTATCGTCTTATAGTTGAAAACCATTTTTATACTTTTTTATTGAAAGTGAAAACGTTGAAATAAGGTGAACTCCGCCAAATAGTTTTTATTGGAAAATTTATGTAACATATTTGTTTTATTTTAAGAATAAGAATTAACAAATTAGGTTCAAGTATTCTTATACACGCGCACACGATATTTTGACTTTCTGAAGGCAAATTTGATTAGTTTTATTTGTCTATATACTCAGTAAAATTCCTAATAATTATGAACTTAAACCCTAATGTATGTAATCATATATCATTGTATAATATTTATTCTTTTGTATGTATCGTAAGCATCTACACGACTGTCATACGCAACGAATATTGTTTTTGTAGGCTCAGTAATGATAAATTTCCGTTCCGTGATAACCTAAATCTTAAAAAAGCAAACCAATTACTAAGTAATTAACCTACCCATATCAAAACGGTAAAAATTTCTTAGTGTTTGTTCGAAAAACGGTTTTTTTTTGACTAAGCCTCACTTTTTAATACATTTTAAGGTATTATTAATAATCATCAGCATGATCATCATCATCACCAGTCTGTTAATGTCCCCACTGCTGGGGATCAGACCTTACCTTTGGATGGAATCGAATTCCCTATGAATGGAAATGACCGATGACCCACCAAACGTGCTCAGTGCTGATTGGTGGGTATTAACGTTTGAAGATGCAGCTGGGACCAACGGTTTAACGTGCCTTTCGAAGCGTTCAGGCGTTTAAGATAAAATTTGGTCACCCATCCTATGACCGGCCATGGCAAAAGTTGCTTAACAATCGTATCGCAGATCGAGCGCGTTAGCCACTGCGCTATCGAACCACTAATACCTACAGAAGATATGGTAATCTGCAAAGTACGACACACAAAGTAAACGTGACATTTCACCATCATCGGTCTTTTAGTTTCATTAAAAAATAATAAATGTGTTGAAAATTGTACATCAAACTTATAAACCTATCATCACCAGCCCTTTTACGTCCCCACTGCAGGGGCGCAGGCCTTCCTTATGGACGGTTCAGGAGGATGGACCATGACCCTCCACGCTAGCTCATTGGGGTTTGGAGAGTATTAAAGACTGCAAATGCAGCCGGGGCCAACGACTTAACGTGCCTTCCGAAGCACGAAGTAAGCTAGAGATAATAATTTTTTGGTCACCCATCCCGTGACCGACCCTTGCGAAAGTTACTTAATGACAACGATCGCGGGCCGCGGCGCTTATCCACTACGCCACCGAGCTATACCTATCGATGACGACAAATTCTTGTTTGTTTGTAAAAATTTATGTAGATTTTTGAAAAATATTGAACACTTATTTTTATTTCTTTTTCGTAATCATTAAATAACGGCGATACATTGAGTTAAAATGTCAAATGACGTCACGTTTTGGTACATTTTCTATAGAACTGAACTGTGACATAACGAGCCCCCACTCCTCGACTTTAACACCTGTTATCTCAGCTATTTCTTGTTAAATTGAAGTAAAAAAATTCAAATGTAATAGTTTTCTATTATCTGACTGACGGATTAAATAGAATTCTTTTTTTTCATCCATTCTGTATGGAATTAACAAAAGGTTATTTGATACTTATCAAATCAGTACTGTACTGTACTGATATGATAAGTAAAAAAATAATTTTATATAACAGTAATATCCAAAAATAATTTTGAATGATAACAGATTTTAAATGAGATATTTTATTTTTTATCTTTATTTTTAGTAAGGTTTATAAAATGCCAGTTCCATAGTGATATCAGAATTTTAAGCGAAAAAGGTTTACAAGATCATAATTACGAAATAATGTCTCAGTGTTTTATGGTAATGAATAACGTTGGCCAAAACAAACTGTGTCAGCTATTCTAAGAAGTCCTGGCACAAAAAGCAAAACAGGTCAAATGACAAACTCTACTTTTTATTATAGATTTCTTTAGTCATACAATATTAATACAAATCTTAACTTTCATTACACAATGCATTAAAGGATGGCCACTTCAAATTTTCCGAAACTGGTGTCTATCATAGAATTTCACCTGCCATACAGAT